CTTGATTTAAACGTTCCACTTGCTGACTATAGATCTCTGCTTTGACAGTTCGCTGTGAATTGAGGAGTTCGAAATGAATTATTCCTTTGATGTCCTACCAAATGCAAAGCATCACTTTCTGCGGATGGAGTCCAGGTTTTGGGGTCAGAAGTGATTTTTATCTAGGACTGAGTCATTGTTTTTGGTGTTTAATATTCGCATAGAAAATCCGTTTTTCATAAACGGTGAGAATTCTGTCCAAAAATGGTTTACGCGCATTACGCGCCCAAACACCTTCTTTATGGAGTTTTCCCATATTCCTTAGATGTTTACGTATTGTTTCATGAGAGACATCAAATTTCAGGGCCAATTCATGGGTGTGTTGCTTTGGATTAGACTCAACTAGCGTCTTCAGATCATCAATATCAATTCCAACATGTTGGCCTCTACCACCACAGTTTCTTAAGACTAAAGTCACCTGAATGAAATTTACTGAACCATCGTTGACTGTTACGAACGTTCAAAACATTTTTCATGAACTTCTTTGATATTATTTGTGGCTACAGAGGCGTTGTTTCCTTTCTTGTTTTCAAACAACATTACATGCTGAATGCGTGTCTTTTCGTGTGCCATCACTATAAGGGATTAATTAGAGTATACTAAACTTTACACATTATATAGGCTACACTAATGTGACGTTTATTTGGTTCGTTTTTTTTCTTTACGTGATGTACGTTTTTTGGGTGATTAATGAATGTGTTCCAATTAATTTCTTGACGACCTAATACTTTTAATCGATAATTTGTTATATTTTATCACATTAACAAAATTAAGGTCATTTTCTCTAGGTAATAGTGCTGGAGTTTGTTTTATTAACGGCATATTTACATGTATGTTTTATTTATATATTGCTTTTAGACATCTGAGAAATACCCCAAGTATATTCATACTACAAAACATTGCGTTAGATTTTCTACTGTAATATTCCGTTTCACTTTAATTAAAATCATAAGGAGAGATTGTAAAAAAAATATTTAACTATTTGAAGAAACGTATATTTTTTATTTGATACTTAACATAGCCATTAAATTTTATAAAGAACGTTTCGGCTGAAATTAATTATTTCATTAAGACGCTTCCAAGGAATGAAGCAAGAGCGAGTTATTTTACTGCTAATTAAGTTTTCAAGAAACGTATTTGTAAATTTCGGCTGAATATCTAGAACAAAAAAACACCAATTTTCTTGTATCTTCCATGCATAAAGAAGACTTAAAAATATAGTTTCTTAAAATCAATTAACTAAAGGTTAATTGCTTAATACTTCACAGTGCCAAATCATAATAACATAACGGTTTAAGTTAATATCTCGGATCGATATTCCAGGAATATGACGGTGTGCTGGCAACCAAAGATGCTGAAACGAACATTAAGACAATTCGTGTACTGAAGTAATAGAAAGTAACTCTACCAAGAGTTCGAAAATGACAAATGTGGACAAATGAAGCGATAATTAATTTATTCAGACCTTTTTCTATAGTATGCTATTTGGGAAAAATCTATTAATTTGTTACGTTATTTTGAAAGTGAGGAGAAAATTTTAAGCAAATTGAGTTTCAATCTCGAAAATTTCTGTCAATGTATACCAGAACGGAATCATATTGTTCACGTGTTATTTGTAATTCTACTTCTGTATGTTTCACCCATGTGACTGTGAAAATATTACATAAATTGCTTTGAAACCTTACATAATATCATTTTGTTTTGATTAACCAAAAAAAATATTTGTTTTGTATCTATAGAATGTTTGCTAATGTTTAAATTAATATAGCTGTAGGGCCTAAAATATCGTTAACAGCGAGGGTACACAACTGATAAAACAAAGCATTCTAATCTTTTAAAGTAAAACGTAAGAACAGTTTAGTTAATTGACTGTGTTCATCACCATGTTGGTTTTTAATTTAGTTTTGAGCTAAGTAGGTAGCTTGCTTTGATCGGAAGTTGATATTGATTGTCTGGAGGTCTTTCTGAAGAATTAAAGCTTTTGTCATCGAACTAAATCAAATGTTCAAATATCAGACTTTTATAAGTAAAGATTATTTCAAGTCCTTACGTTAAGAATCGTCTCATTTTCTCATTTTTTGATATTGGAATACTTCTTTTAAATCTGTCAGTAATAATTTGCTATTACTGCTTTTATAAGTTTCAACACCCTTATAAAGCATTTCATTTCTTTTGTTATCTGTCTGATGTGCCTCAAAATCAAGGATTTACACTGATCTGAATAGAAATTAGATTTTCTAAGCTTTGAAGGAGATTAACTACCGGTTTGAAAAGGTCACAGTATTCATTTTAAAAAGTTTTATTCCAGCATTAAACCGACGTATAATACAGTTGGAAAACAATTCTATTTTTAGTACATTCTTTCCTGCTGTCTCTCAACCGTTGTACTTGTCGTATCGTGATACCGTGAAACACCAGATTATCTAAAGAAACGGTTAAATACACCACATGACAATCTTGATTCAAAGTGATGTTTTCATTTTCAGAAAAACAGACGTATTATCATAATTCTATAATAGGAAATTTAGTGTGTAAAAATGATAAATGTTAATATAAAAAAACACATTGGAAACTATCGCAGATCAGAACTGCTTTTAACGTAATATTGATTGTAAATCAATCTGTTCAGATCCAGGGATATCCATTCACTAATTATTTGTGCTATTAATATAATATCTAATATAAACCACCATGTTTAATTAATGGTTACTTTTAAGCCATTAAAATAATGTTCAATGTAAACCAGATTGTTCAAGGCTAAGCAAAAAAAAAATGGTTATTTTGTCGTTAACATACTACTCGTTTTAAACCATTCCGTCCAGAGCTGTCAAAACAGTTCTTATATTTATATCGTTGATACAATACCATTTATTGTAAACGAAACTGACGAAGGCTATACAACAAAACAGTTCTTATATTTATATCGTTGATACAATACCATTTATTGTAAACGAAACTGACGAAGGCTATACAACAAAACAGTTCTTATATTTATATCGTTGATACAATACCATTTATTGTAAACGAGACTGACGAAGGCTATACAAAGATTAGTAATGTTTGGGTTGTTGACATAATACCAGTCTATCAAGAGGTTCTGAACACAGTGAATGGTTACAACGAGACGTAGTGATAAATTGATTTAAATCGTACTTGTTGTGTAAGACAGGAGACACACAGAAGAGGGTTAAAGATCACTCCGACATTTTCAAAGTACAAAAGAAAAAAAAAAGATTTTTTTTCTGAAGAAAGAATTGGAATTTGTGGCTAAACGACTAGGTCAGAGACCTCTAACTGCTTGATTTTGAACTACTGACTAGAGGGAAAACAGCCAGTCAGAAGTAGGGAATAAAGGTCTGAATTGAAATTGATCCTCCCAGGTCGCGCACAACGATCAAAATACCGACACAGACAATACGCAACACCCTCCGCCTCAAGAGTTTGTATGGTTCTTTCAACCGAATAAGGAGTTTGATTGTTATTATAAAAAGCACCCCAGATTGAACTGCAGAGCGACGTCAGTGGTCTCACATCTCAAACCCCGAATTCGTCATTTCGTAGCCCGACACGCTAACCACTAGACCATGTTCGGCCCTTTTCAGAATCTATTTTGCATCACAAAACATAATGAACTTATATTAAAACGCTTCTTTGTAATAATTAATGATTAGTATTAG